TCACGTGTTCATCTAGTGGCATTAGCGTGTTGGTACGTGCATACATCAATTAGCGTTCTGTGTATATGTATATCGTCTCTGCGTATGTTAAACTGTGTGTACAAAAATATCATTATTAAGATTAGTTTTTTTTTATTTAAGAAGATTTGTTTGTATTAAAAGATTATTGGTGTTTATTGAGAATATCACGTTTGTCGGTTGCGTGGTGAATATGGCGTATGCTGGAAGTAAACGGGAACTATCTTGTTATACAGACGGCAAATCTTCGAGTTGTACATTCTTTAAATATAGGCTTAATGTGTATTTATCTACCGTAATATACTCGTGTAACAGGCGATCTCACATATGGTGCCAACCAAAAATTTTCTCTTAAAAAATATGATTTTATCATGTATCTCGTGTATGCGAGTTCCTTTTCTGAGAGAACAAATTACAACAGACTGGCCTCTTTTCCTCTATCTCTTTATCTTATCTACTTAAATATGTCAAAAAGTAAAAGAGAATGATAAAAGTATAGTCAGTTAAGTGCCATGCGTGATACACGCTTAGGCGGTCACGTATCTTTAGATACATGACTGACGAGGCAGATTTTTTTTCCTGCAGTAGGTTGCCATTTCTTTCTGCGGTAGATCAATTACCATCCAAGGTTATAGAACCCAGTCTGTCCTGCTATTTATCCACAAAACACTTTGCAAGGCCCTCTTTTGGAATTACTGTCACTTGCCTTGGATTGTAGCTCGGATTGAGAAATTGGAGAGTCAAGTCCGAATTCCTTTTGCATTCATTCCATTAACTTATGTCAGTCAATAATATGTGCCATGCGTGATACACACTTAGGCGATCATGTATCATTCGATACATAACTGACGATGCAGATTTTTTCCTGCAGTAGGTTGCCATTTCTTTTTTAGGTACACGAGTTGCCATCCAAGGCTATAGAACCCGGTCTGTCGTGCTATTTACCCATAGCTGGGGAGGGGAGAGAAGAAGAGGATCCATCCTTTCCCAAGTGTATTAGCACATATGTGGATTGAATATAATGGATTTGACTGGAATTCGAACTCGGCTCTCCGATTCCTCAATCCAAGAATCAGGTGTATGGAATATTCTGTGGATCAAATATGTTTTTCTGTTCATATATTTTGGTTTTTAGAAAAGTTACCAAATCAATGTTTGAAAAACTAATGAAGGTTGTAGAATGCCTATGTTAACAAGTAAAATCAGTCAGTTATGTGCCGTGCGAGATACACGCTTAGGCGATCATGTATCTTTCGTGCCGAGGCAGACTTTTTTTTTTTCAACAGTAGGTTACCATTTTTTACTGCGATAGATCAGTTTCCATCCAAGGCTATAGAATCCGGTCTGTCCTGTTATTTACCCATAGCTAGGGGGAAGAAGAAGAAAAGGACTCATACCTTTCCCAAGGGTATCAGCATGTAAGTGAATGTAATGGTTTCGACTGGAATTCAAAGGCTATACTCGTTGCATAATTGCGTAAAGTCATAAAAAAACAATCGAGAAGCAGTTAAACATCTTTTAAACATAAACAATGGAAAAGATGTATATTAGCTATGTTTGTATTTTATAATACGATACTAATTAATATGTGAATATTACATGCATTATTATTGGATACAACTAAATAAAACATCAGTTTTATCAAAATCATGTTTGTTAAATACAGCTTTAAATGAATATATACTTTGGTCAAAGGAGTAGCCAGGCCCAGTTGTACATGAGCTAATTTTATCTCATGCATGATGCGACCCTCTTAAAATTAGCTTCGAAATTAGATCTTTAAAAATCGCATGATACGCGAGTGTATACGGTATTTATTTATAAATCATTTAGTTGTTTACTAGAATTTAACACATTCAAAGAACTGGTTCTGAAACTCCCTTGACCAAAAAATTATAGAAAAGCGAACTGTTTCTTAATTTCGTAAAAAAAAAATGAACGGGCGTGGAAAGAAAAGAGAAACAATTTAAAAAAAAAATGGTTCAACCATTGTTATACATGTAAATATTTCCCAAATTTATAAATAAATCACATATGCGTACATAGAAAGATATCCCCACTCCTACACGCGCATAAAAATGCTTTCAACATAAGCAGAACGGAAACGAGGCAGAATGTAACCTTTAAAATTCTCTGTTGTTAATTCCCGTATTCCATGGCTGCGTTATTGCACTCAGCAGAAGTCAGTCGATTCAGTACTTTCTGAGCGACTGTTCGGTTGTACTCTCTTCCTACGGACGGGAGGAACCCGAAGGAGGCTACGCCGAAGGGCGGATTCTCTTTCGGGGAGGTAGACCGGCCCTGAACCCGTTTATATGGGTTCAATGGGCATATTTTTGGCCGAGCCTACGGGGCTCGGAATGCCCATGTTAAAAAGGCCTTGTGCTACATGACACCCTCGTTGTGACTGAATATCGTCATGATGAGTGGCTGCACTCTTAAAAAGCCTGTTTGGACGCCTATTGGGACACAAGTTAACCGCAGACCTCAGTGTGAAACCATATAAACGATCTATCGCTAAAGACGCTGGAAAAAAATGACCATACTCTCCGGAAATACCCGGCTGCTTCTGACATGCTTTATCTTTACAAGGGTCAGAGCGGAGCGAAAATGAAGTAGTGCTGCCATATTTGGGCTGAAGCTGCCCTGTCCTCTATTTTCACCCTTGACGGGTGTTCAAAAGCGTCGACGCGGCCCTGTAAGTGATTAAGTATTTCCCACCCGACAACACCTTTCCCAAGGACGCAACCTCACAAGCCTCTTACTGTTTCCTTGCAAAGTGTTCGAACGAGCTACATTCCGTAGTTTCATCAAATCATATATCTACTGTAAGTTTTGAAGGGGGTGGGGAACTATCTCAGTATTCCCTTGCTAAGAAAGAATTTTGTTCAAACAGTCTATTTCTAAGAGACGCTACTTTGCATAATTGAGCCCCGAGAAGACGTTTACACGATCGTAAGAATCTTAATTTCTTCAAGGAGTTGATAGATTTTAGCTATCGTCCAGTTCAAACACCTCCCCGGTTTTTTGAACCAGAGTAGAGGTTTCTCAGTTGTTTCATGCTTAGGACTAGGTTTCTTGTTCCATCTAAATTCTACTTAAAATTTATACTTCTAACGTCTTTGTCTAATTCCTGAAATCATACTCATTATAAAACCCAGGTTGTGTGTGTGGGTGTGTGTCTGTAACGTTTATATATGGGATCGGATTTCCTACATTTTTCAACCGATTTCAACAAAACTTCACTTTTTTTTGGCAGGTAGTGTTTCTTATTGTCTTGCACACTTTTTTCCTTATTTTTACATTCAGAATGCTTTAAAAATTCCATTTACAAGACAATTGTTTATAATAAAATTCTATTCAATCTGTCGACTCATAACGATTGAAAACAATGTTTTTGTTTGAGTTTGGATTTGACCAATTCGTAAAAAACAAAAAAAACAAAGAAAAAACTAATTAAGACATGCATGTCCGTCAACCTTAAACAATAATCTTTGTCAGTTTTATTTTTCAGTCTTTATGATGGTCGATACTTGATCTATCTCTTATTGTTACATCCCCGGGCAACGCCGGGCTCTACTGCTAGTTCTTACTATTTTTTTCACAATAAGAATCGTCAGGTTCACCTACTGTCTGGTTTCCACTAGTCCCTAGTCTTTTGAACGGGAGTAGAGGTTTATCCGTGTTTCCTGCTTAGGACTAAGTTTCAGGTTCCATCTAAATCCTACTTAAACTTGATACTTGTAGCGACCCCGCCTAATCGCTGAAGTGTCTACTATATTTTCCACAATAGGAATAGATAGATTCACCTATCGCCCGGTTTACACTCCTCTCCGGACTTTGGAACAGGAGTAGAGGTTTGCTCCTTGTTTCTTGTTTAGGTTTCTGTTTCCGGTTCTTTCTAAATTCTACATCAGCTCTATACTTCTAAAGTCTCCGCCTAAGCTCAGAAACCTTTACTATTTTTTTTCCACAAAAGTAACAGATAGGTTCATCTATCGTCCGGTTCACAAACCTCTCCGGTCATTTGAACAGGAATAGAGGTGTGTCCCTCGTTTCCTGTTTAGGATTAAGTTTTCCGTTTCCTTCTAAATTTTTTCTTTCCTTTCACTTGAAATATCCTATTGCACCATAGTGTCTTTATAGCCTTGGCAGGGGTGAATTGATTTAAAAATAAATCAATGTTCAATCTACATCTTTCCCTACTATTCTTACGTCCATAAAACACGCCCATTCAGTATCCTTCTATATTGAGTGACTCTTGAGACTTCTATTGGCTGAACAATAGAGTAAAATGCCTTTTTCTTCCAAACCAAATCGCTTTGATTACTCCCTAAAAAAACATAAATAAACAGTGGCATATTTAAGTTGGTCTCCATTAATTACCGTTCCCTTAGCAATGGTAGCAAAACCAGGTAGCTAAATGACCCTCAAGTGTCACGAACGTTCAACATTTAGAAGGACACGCAGCAGGTTGACAGGAGGTCAAACATAGAATTAGTGTCTTTGACGCTGGTTTCAAGTAAGAAATGTTTTCCGTTAAGGACACGCATATCCAATTTGGAAGCCGACTTCATTTTGATATTTGTGACGCCGTTGCTTCCGGTTGGATAAAAGAGAAGTACTTAAGAAAAGAAAGAAAAACGGAAAGTGTCGGAGAGAAAGAGAAAAGGGAGAAAAAGGAAACACAAAGAGAATGACTGAGACAAAGTGAGAAACAAGTGAAGAGAAAGAGAAAGAGAAGAAGCGAAAACGTTAGAGAAGATGACAGAAAGAGAGAAAGAAGGGAGGGAAAAAGAAGAAAAAAGGGAGTAAGAGAAGGGAAGAGATGGAAGAGATATAGAAATTGATAGTTAGAAAAGGAGGGAAAGAGAGAAAGTAAGGGAGAAGGAGAGAAAAATAACAACAGAAAGAAAGAGACAAGAAAAAAGGGATAGGGAAGGAGAAAAAGATAGAAAAAAAAAACAAAGCGAACAGTAAATTCAAGAGAGTAGAAGAAAAGGAGAAAGAAAAGAAAGAAAAAAGGCAAGAGAAAGGGAAAAAGATAAAAAACGAGAAAGAAAAGAAAGAAAAAAGATGAAGTGTGAAGACGAATTAGAAAAAGAAATGAATGGGGATAAAATCACAATAAGAGGGCTCGAAAGAAAGTGAAGAGAAAGAGAAAAGAGACACAAAAAAGGGAGAAAGAGAGAAGAAGAGTTAAAAATAAAGAAATAAACAAAGAAAGAAAAGAAAGCTAAGGTAAGTAAAGATGAGAGAAGAGAGATGAAAAGAGAAGAGATGGTGTCAGAAAGAAAGTGAATAAGAGAAAAGCGAGAAAAACAAAGACATAAAAAATGAACAAAAGAAGAGAGAAGAGGAGTTAGAAATAAAGAAATAAAAGAGGAAGAGAGAAGGAGAGAAGGAGAGATAAAAAATACAAAGAGATCAATAGGAAGAGAAAGAAGAAGTAAAAGAGAATATAGAGAAAAAAAGAAAGACATTAAGAATGAGCAAAAGAAAGCGAGAAAGAGAGAAGAGTTAAAAAGAAAGAAAGAAAAGGGGGGGAGAGGATGACAGATAAAAAGATAATAAGAAACACAAATAGAAAAAAGAATGACAGAAAGTGATATTAACAGACAGGGGGAGAAAAAGACCGAATGTTAAATGGTAAGAGATAGAGAATGTTGGTTGATTCGTTTTCTACGGCTTATCAACCCTTTTTCAGGTTATTTAAAGCCAGATATATTTTTAGATTGTAAGATTTTTTTTTTACTTTTTGGAGGTTATACTGGCTTAGTATTATGAGTCCTACTAATTAACCCATAATTCATAATTTTCCTATGTGTATTTGCGCGTATCTAGATATATCGAAACCATTCCGAGTCAATATACAAACTTCATGCTAAGTATTGAGAGATTATGATGAAAAAAAATCAAGACTGTTGGTCCTGACCTGTCACCTCGGCTTCCCATTCCGTAACGTAACTGCTCTGTGTCTTTTCTATAAATAGTCATTGTAATTTTTCTGATCAACTTTTCTCTATGCTGTTTAGACTTTATGAAGTTAAGCGCAGTACTAGATTGGCTGCAAGGTCTCATCAATCTAATTCCGTTCTTCCCCAGCTATGGGTAAATAGCAGGACAAACTGAGTGGCAACTGGTCTAAAAGAAGGACAACTCTGAAAAGAAAAAAGAGGAAGAGAGAAGACGAGTTAGAAATAAAGAAAGAAAGGGGAAGAGAAGATGAGAGAAGGAGAGATAAAAAAAAATAATGAGACAGGAAGAGAGAGAAGAAGTGAAAGAGAATATAGTGAAAAAGGAAACACATCACGAATGAACGACAGAAAAAGAGAAAGAGAAAAGAGCTAAGAAATATAAAGAATAAAATAAAAATAAATTATATATATATATATATATATATTATATATGTGTGTTTGTGTGTGTATGTATGTGTGTGTGTGTGTGTGTGCGAGTTTGTTTTTAATTTTATCGAATGCACAGTATAGGAGGGTCAGTTGGGCACCGTTTGTGAGAAAAAGAGTACAGAAATGTGGAAATTGCATGCTGTACTGCTTCTCAATACGAACTTTTAAGAGTGTTTGGGTGTTAATCTGAGGATGCTGCAGTGGATTAAGAAAGAGTTGGATGAGTATAATTCTGATTACGAAGGTACGACAGCTCGTTAAACTCACACTGGTCGTTCTGATAAGAAAAGAACATCCGAATCTTTTGGCGAGGGCGTCAGACTCAACTTTGAGACCTACACCAAGTTTCTATGAGGAGGTTGTACTGCCTTGGGTCAAGAAGGTGTCTACTGGAAGACCTTATGGCTAGCAACAGGAATCTGCCCTATGCTGCAAAAGCAAGAGAAGCCAATCATGGCTGTCAGACAATTTCTGTAATCATATCACTCATTACATCTGTCCATTTACCTCCCCTGACAGTAACCTCCTTCATCAAATAAATAAGAAACTCCTTATAACACCAAAGAGGAACTGATGGCAAGGATTATAGCAGCATTCACAAAATTAAGCAAGGTGACCATCTAGAAGAGTTACAGGAGATTTCGAAATTTTCTGGAGGCCGTAGTTGAAGCCAATGGCAATTTTATTGAATAAATTTACCCATTAGTATTTCAAGATATTTTTGCGTAATTTTGGTAAATATATCTGTTAAAATGAGATGTCAGTGTTGTTTTCATTTTTGCATAATTTAGACGGCAATTTATCCATCGCATCCTCTATTTCTAAAGGAGAAAAACCCGGATGAGAGTTACTTTAAGGATTCGCGTTGTTTTTCTACCTCCACATCTGCTGCTGACAATAGGTTTATTAAGGTACTACTATCAATTTCATATCTACTGTTTCACAGATCGAATTCATTCATTTCATTTCCTTCATCCATTCAAAGTATATTTATTTTCCACCTATGAAAGATTAAACTTTGCATGTTTACATTTTTATGGATAGTTTTGAAGACGTATTGGGTTGGTGCATAATTATCAGGCGTTTTTTTAAATAATATTTATTATGAAAAAAAAGAGACATAATAATTCAACAATAACATTTCTAAATGATTATTACGCAGCGTATGATTATCAACACGCATTTTTATAACCTGAAAATAAAAGAAAATAGCAATGTTTATTAACAAATAACTTGCCTAGAAAAACGCCTGGTAATTATGCACCAACTCAATATTTTCACAAAAATAAAATTAAAAAAAAAATATGAAAAACTGATTAAAAAGTTAGACAAATCTGATTTTCTCCAAGATCCAAATGATTTCTTAAATTTCATTTTTATTTTCAATTTCAGTATATTTTAGTTTCTAAAATACTTTTAATTAATCCGTCTGATTTTCATTGACACGTGATGACGTTTTCTTTTCTCTTCACGCTTAATTTAGATGAACAAGAGAGAATTGTCGATCATCGGAAATTCTAGTAAACAGCAAAATCGATTTTTTTGCACAATGCGAGTAAGCCGTATAGCATGTTTATTAGTTACACGTCAACTCGTTTGTTTTAAAAAATTTTTACAGAAAATATTATAGTAACCTCTGGATTCATTGATAACAAATATAACATTTATTCATCCACGCAGATGCATTCACACACATACTTCCACACACAGACGCGCACACACGCATTATGTGTCTACGGCGGCTTCTGCCTATCGACACATATTTGTCGTTCGTGTCTGATGTGGCCAAGGCTACGAGAACTCGATTACACAGAAGACATTCGTGAACAAATATTACGATGTGTTTGCGATTTTATATATTTGTAAGCGCGAGGAAGATACAGGGATAGAATAGAGAGGACAGAAAGAAAGATAGAGACTAGAGATAGAAAGAGGAGGAAGAGGGGAGAGAGAGAGATAACGGGGAAAAGACAGGGAAACGAAACGGTAATATCAAACAGCAATAGACATTATGCCCCATTCTACGTGGTATCATGTATATACATGTATATAGATCAAGTATAGTTAGGAATCCTACACAATGATAGGATAAAGAACAAGTAGGAAATAGATCCCAGTCTAACAGGTTTAACGTTGTTAAAGCTTCGTCAGAGATCAAGATATTGTTGTGGCCTTGTTAGGGCCAGAAATAAAGACACAAAGAGAGGAATTGAGTTAAACAGATATATTAACAGAAACAGTAATGCAAACATATACAAACGAGAGTGTTACAGCACGAATGTTCGGTCCGACTGCCAGAGCTGCTCCTATTTATAGCTGGGAGAGTTCATGTGTGTGTGGGTAAATTACCATAATAGATATAAATGATAAAAAAATGATAAAAACCAAAGAGACGCAGATTAATGGTACGTTGTGTTTGGCTATTTCGTATTGGTTAGATACTTGTCACGTGAAACATAAGTAACAGACAATATTCAAATATGTGTGACAAACATTCTGGATGCCCCAAGTGTGTAAAAGTTAGTGAGACGCATCAAGATGTTTTGAAAAATTTTATTTTTGTTTGATTTTTCATTAAAGTCTATCGCGTGCGTAGTTTGTATATTGCATATATTTTCATTGGTTTTTATATTTTAGAAAGGGATATTTTAGATTCATGAATAATGGATCTGTAGAAAAGTGGTGATGTAATGTAGTTTTTTTTTAAACGTGTATTGATAGTTGGTAGTATTGCTATAAATATGATTTTCATAATATTTTCTATTTAAAGGGTTATGTTCTGTTTTCATAAGCTTGGCATTTGTGAAATTAAAGTTACGTCGTTGCAGTAAAAGACGAGTGAGTTTGAATGCTTGTCTAATCGCAAGTCTCTTTTGTGTTCCTGGATACAGGGTTTTAGATCGCGTGACGTCTCCCTATTGTACATGTTATTACACTGTAGACATTTCATTTGACAAACTCCGGCATTTGAATTGGTTTTGCTTTAACTTTTCATCCTGATTATATCAGTAATCGTCTTGGAGGGATAGCTAATTCATTTGCGAGTTTAGTCGAAGTGTTGGAGGTTAGGAGTATGAATTTTATATAATTTTTGTTGGAAGTATTTTTTTTTCGATTTTATGGATTTTTGAGCTCCATTTGTTGGTTTAAGGTAAAATGATATATGCACTGTAGAAGTTTAAATGTGTTCTCATTATAATCCTCTTCTTTACTAATATATTCAGGGCTACATATCCTAAGGGCTCTAAGTTAAAATCCTATAATTATTCCAGATTTTATCCTCCAATTGCAGTGGGTATTAGAAATTGATAAGGTCATTTTCGTCAGTGGGTTTTCGATAAACTTTAAAATCTAGCTTATTATCGTTACGTATAAATACATGTGATTAAATAATGAACAAACAGGGAAACGTTTAGAAATTTGACATGTTTCGCTGGATTTATTGCAGGTTCTTCAATTATTATTATTTTTTCTGAATGATGGATCACGTAGATAATGTTTTGTTATTTTGAATTCTGTGTTTGTTTGTATTCATCGGTCGGATAGATAACACGTGCTCATGTTTTGTGACGTTAGTGTGTGTGTCTGAATTTTAGTGGGTAATCTTTGTGTCCGTATCGTAGAGTCTGTACCTGTGTCTAATTCCTGACGACAGTAGCGAGAAGAAATGAGAACCTTCATATATGTGGGTGTGTATGAAATTTCTAGTTGGGCGTACGGCGACTTCTGATAAATTCTGTGCGTCTATTGACTAAGTATTTAGTTGTTTTTTTTTTTATTAATTTAGGAATAATAATAGACAAGTTTTGTCTATTTTATGCAAATTCCTTTCATGTCGTCTGATAATAACATTATCATTGAAAGACGAAAGAAAATCACCATATTGATACATGTTTTTTTTTTAAATTTTATCTAAGCTTTCACGCGAGAGTTAAAACGAGAAGTGTTAAGTATGGGAAGCCGTTGCTATAAACCATTGACTTTTGTTATCAAATATGGTCATGTGTGATGTCATGAGCTGCGGTGCGATTTTCGCATCCAGCGTCTCGTATGCACGAGTTTGTCATTGCTTGGAA